ATATGCTGTCTCTAATGCAAATCCCCACAACGAATCTGGTAACTTCGAATAACTCACCATCGACCTAACCATTTCCATTAGAGTTCTGTTTCTTCGCTCTGCAACCCCGTTCTGCTGGGGCGTGCCGGGTGCAGTCAGCTGGGATTCAATCCCTGCTTCTGATAGGTATGTCCTAAACTCTCCAAAGAGGTATTCGCCTCCTCGATCAGATCGAAGACACTTGATACTTTTATTTTGTTGTTTATCCACATCTGTCATATACTCCTTGAATTTCTCAAAGCATTTGGACTTGCGGTGCAACAAGTAAATGTATCCATATCTAGAATAATCATCAATAAAAGTGACGAAGTACTCATAGCCTCTTTTAGCTTGGATCGACATAGGACCACAAAAATCAGAATGAATCAATCCTAGCACTTCTTGGCTCCTTCGCCCCTTTGCCGAAAATGGCCTCTTGGTCATCTTACCTTCTAGGCAGGACTAGCAAGTCTGGTAATGATCTTCTACTGGACCAAGATGCCCAGTAGATACGAACCTTTGAATCCTCCTAAGGTTTATGTGCCCAAGCCTAAGGTGCCAAAGATATGCATGATTCATCAAAGACTCTTTTCTTTTATTAGTTTTAGTCGAGACATTATTCGATTCATTTTGTTGCAGTGTGGGAGACTTTGGTTTCAGAACATATAGATTGCCAACCATTGAACCAGAACAAATCAAATGATTACCATAACGAATAACTACTGAGTTATCAAACGTAACTGAATAACCATTCAAAACGAGTTTAGAAACTGAAATTAAATTCTTCCTAAAACTTGGAACGAAAAGACAATTGTTCAAAACAAAAATACTAGCATCAAATACTAAAGTAACTACTCCCACTGCAACTGCTGCTACTTTCGTAGCATTGCCCATGTAGACTGTAATCTCTCCATCCCTAAGCCGCCTGGTTTCTTGGAACCCTGCAAAGAATTGCAGACAAGATCAGTGGCTCCAGTATCTACACACCAGGTACTGGTAGATACAACCGCTAAACATGTTTCTACGACAAAAGTATGAGAGTTACCTTCTTTGCCCTTCTTGAGGAGAGGACAATCGACCTTCCAGTGCCCTGATTTATTGCACTTGTGGCATCTACCTTTCGACTTCTTTGCCACAGCCTGCTGAGGCACTAACTGGGTGCTCTGTGCCTTTGCCTTTTTTGCAGCCTTCTTCCTCTTCCTGCCCTTGTGGAGGTCCGGCTTGCTCGGCAACCATCACAACTGGTTTCTGAGTGAACAAGGCCTCAACCAACTGGAGTTCTGACAACAGTTCTGGAAGAGCCATATGCATCTTGTGCATATTATAGTTCAACCGGAACTGATCAAAACTCTTCGGCAGAGATTGAAGCATGATATCAACCTGGGTTTCCCCGTCAATAAAATCTCCAAGAACCTCTAGCTCATTGAGCTGCGCCATGACCTTGAAAGCATGCTCCCTTACGGGTGTATCCTCTGCCATGCGCGTGTTCATCAGAGCACTTAAAGCCTCTTGTCTTGCAGCCCTCAACTAATGCC